AGCAAGAACAATAGTTACAAAACATCCCTCCCCATAATACACACAATATCCACAGGCATACCTGTAACATACATGTGTCAAAGGCAACTTAACTTCTAGTAACGTAGAGCCAGAAGGTCCATTCTTTCTATGTAGAGTCATCTCAGGATTTACTCCTCTTCACTTACTAGCTGTATGACCTTGGGCAAATCACTTAACTTTTCTCAGCTTCAGCTTTTTCATCTATAAAATAGAGGAAATTATAGCATCTACCTTACTTGGTTATGGAGATCAAATTAGATGATCTATGTAAAGTTCTTTGCTTAGCGCATTGTAAATGTTCAACTATGCTTCATTCATTTATTCATTCGTTCATTCATTGCAGAGAAGGTGTTACTTGGCATTGGTAAAGGGCAGTTCTTAATCGAGGAATTCCCAATACCATGAAATCACAGTTACAGTTCCTTTCCTATCTATATCTCTTAGTCCATCACATGTTTTAGTTTCACTTTGCTCTCTTTGTAGTTTTGATTCAATAGTTAAACCAGTTCAACAAGTAAAGCACTGTTCGCCCTCAGTTCCTTGCCCCTTTGTTCTTTCATTGTTCACACCCTCAAATCAAATCAAAACAGATGTAGGAAGATGTGATTTGGCTATTACAAGATAGGATTGCATAGCACGTTCATGTTTTTTACAGATTTTCTTTTTGTTGTTTAGTAGAAAAGACATAGAATTTACATAACCCCATGGACTTTGTTCACAAAGTTTTCTTGGCAAAGATACTGGAGTGGTTTGCCATTTCCTTCTCCAGTGTGTCCCCATTTTTTTGATGAGGAACTGAGGCAAACAGGGGTTAAGTAACTTGCCCAGGGTCACATAGTTAGTATCTGAAGCCATATTTGTACTCAGATTTTCCTGTCTCTAGGCCTGGTACTCCATCTACTATACCACCTAGCTGCCATAGGGCTCAATGAAAACCAAGGACTTTGTAAATACTTATTGAATAAGATGTCAAATTCTGCTTGTGGTTAGAGCCTAAAATACCTAAAATGGCTGAATGAGGCCGATTTTAAAAAAAGCCAAATAGAGGTACCATTCAGACAGAGTTGACCTAAGTGCCAGAAAAATCTGTCCATTCAGATGTTGAAATTTTGTTTTTTTAAATTGGAAAACTTAGTATTTCATTTATAGAATTCACAGACAACATTTATAGCCTGGGAGTAAGAATATATATGTAATTTAGCCTGTAATCAATCACTGCCAAGAACAGAAACCTTTTTTTTTTTTTTTTTGCTTAGCCACGGGACGCATCATAGAATCACAGATCTATAGCTGGAAGAGACCCAGTCCATCCAGTTCATTTTACAGAGAAGGCAACTGGGGCTTAGGGAGATTACGTGATATACAAGTTTCAGATGTAATCATCACAGTCTTTATAGTATTTTACCAAAAACAATCAACAAGTATTTATTCAGTTCTTAATATGTGCCAGGCACTGGGAATACTTGTATTCCCTACTTGAAGAAGCCTACATGCTTTTTTTTTTTTTTAAAGGATCTTTTGTCAAGGTAATTAAAATTTTCTAAGTATAGTAATGCTTGAGGATTTGGTGCATGGGGTAAAGGTAATTAAAATGCAATTCTTTCTGGTCTAATGAGGAGCAGAAGCTGATACTCAGGTAGCTGAGAAATGTTTTGCATACTGAGACATAGTGAAGACTTATTTATAGCCAGAGGAGTACAAACACTTGGGTAGCTAATTTTGGTAGAGGACTCACTGAAGGATAATTTTAAATGCTAGTAAGAATTACAGATTATTGCTTGGACAAGAAGAGGACACCTTTTTTTATGCCAGCAGAGAACCAGGAAAAACAATACAGTGTCTTGAAATGACAGAGCTCAGCTTTTATTTAAAAAAAGACCATTTCTCTCTTTCCACTTACCTCCCTTCCCCTCTCAAACTCTCCCTTAGGGGTTCCCCTCATCCTTTAACCAAATCCTCAGAGGGTACAGTAAGTAACTGAACCAACAGGAATTCATTTAATTGTGCTATTCACTTCTTGTCACAGAAGCAGAATAATGGCATGTAACAGGGAAAGCTTAGGTGTGCAGTGGATTAGAGTACTGGGCCTGGAGTTGGAAAGACCTGAGTTCAAATCTGGCCTCAGACAATTACTATTTGGGTTATCCTGGACAAATCACTTAACCTCTGTTTGCCTACTCATCAATAAAATGGAGATAATAATAGCACCTATCTCCCAGTGTTGTTGTGAGGGTAAAACGAGATACATGTAAAGTACAGCGCCTGGCACATAGCAGGCACTCTATAAATGTTAGCTATTACTCTTATTATTAATTCAACATGACATAAATTATTAGCTAATATTCTCTACTTCCTCATCAAGGGGCACTGAGGAGGAATGCACCTGAAAGATGAGGCTATTGAAAGGTAAAGAAAACAACATTCACTCACTTCCAATCAGGCAATTAAGGATGAGAAATCTTAATCTACTCATTCTCAGCCTCAGGTTTAGAGTACTTTGGCATCCTGGTAATAAATATAAGTAGTAAAGGAGAACAAATTCCCATATTGGTAGTATTTGAAAATGTACATATTATTCTGCATCTTGAGTTCATCACTTGTCTATCAGGGTAGGGTAATTCATTCATCATCAGAATGAATGGAGAAGAATGAGCTAAGATTCTTATTTTAAATTATTTATTTTTTAACATTAATTTTTTTTTAAAATGAGTTCCAAATTATCTTCCTCCCTCCCACCCCTCCCCACCCATTGAGAAGGCAAACAATATATCAATTATACATGTGAAGTCATACAAAACATTTCCATATTAGCCATGTTGCAAAAAAAAAAAAAGCAAGAAAAATAAAGTGAAAAAGTATGCTTCAATCTGCATTCAGAGTTCCTAAGTTCTCTCTCTAGAGGTAGATAGCATTTTTCATCATATGTCTTTTGGAATTGTCTTGGATCTTTGTATTGTTGAGAGTAGCAAACGCATTCACAGTTGATTATTGTACAATATTGCTGTTACTATGTACAGTGTTCTCCTGGTTCTGCTCACTTCACTTTGCAATGGCTTGTATAAATCTTTCCAGTTTTTTCTGAAAGCATCATGCTCAACATTTCTTACAGCACAATAGTATTCCATTACATTCATATAACACAACTTGTTCAGCCATTCCCCAATTGATGGGCATCCCTGCAATTTCCAATTCTTTGCCACCACTAAAAGAGCTGCTATAAATATTTTTGTATATATAGGTCCTTTCCCTTTTTTTAAATCTCTTTGGGATATAGACTGAGTATTGCTGGTTCAAAGAGTATGCGAAGTTTTATAACCCTTTGGATATAGTTCTAAATTGCTCTTCAGAATGGTTGGATCAATTCACAACTCCACCAACAGTGCATTACAATCCCAATTTTCCCACATCCCCTCCAACATTTGTCATTTTCCTTTTCTATCATATTACTCAGTATGATAGGTGTGAGATGATAGCTCATTTCTCTAATGAATAGTGATTTAGAACATTATTTCATGTGATGGCTGATAACTTTGATTTCTTCTTCTGAAAACTGCCTGTTCATATCCTTTGACCATTTATCAACTGGGGAATGACCTTTATTTTTATAAATTTGGCTCAGTTTCCTATGGATTTGAGAAATGAGGCCTTTATCAGATAAACTTGCTATAAAATTTTTTTCCCACTTTCTTGTTTTCCTTCTAAAGGAGCTTACTTTCTAATGGTGAAGACAAAAAGAACACGTATAAATGTATATAAATATAAAGAAAATAAATAAAAGTAATTTAGTACAAGGTACTTTGGGAAGAAGCCTATTAGGAGTTGATGGGGGGGTGGAATCAGCAAAGTTTTCATGGAGAAGGCAATGCTTGAGTTGTATTTTGAAAGAAGAACTATTCTATGAAGCAGAGGTGAGGAGGGGGCAGTGATAGGGCATGGTCAGTACAAAGGCAAGAGAGATAGAGTGTTTTGGTTGTGGAAAAGATAAAAGTCCAATTTGGCACAACTGCCAAGTACAAGAAAGGTAGTGATGCATGATCTGTCTGTAAAGACAGGACTGAGGCCACGTTGGCATAGGATTTAAAAGACAAACAGAGAAGTTTATGTATTTTATTCTGGAGGCAATAGGTAGCTATTGGAGTTGGTCAAGTAGGGGAGTAACATGGTCAGATATATACTTAAGGAAAATAATTTTGGAAGCAGTGTGTAGGACAAACTGGGGTGGTGAATGGTGGCAATTCTGACAAGAATACAGCAGTTTAGAGAAGAAGTGGGTTTAAGGGGAATATGAGTTATCTATTATATAGATAATGAGTTCTGTTTTGGACTTGTTGAGTTTGAGATGTTTCCAAGACATTCACTTTGAAATGGCCAATAGGCAACTGAAGTAAGATAGAAACTTAGGCATGAGACGGAGACTGGATATATAGATCTCTGAGTCATTTGCATTAAGTTGTTAATTACACTCTTTAGAGCTGGTAAGGTCACTCAGAGTATAGATAAAGGAGAGAAGAAGGCCCAGGACAGATCCTCTAGACCAGAGGTTCCCAAACTTATTTGGCCTACTGGCTCCTTTTATTTTATTTTATTTTATTTATTTATTTATTTAGTTGTTGTTTTTGCTAGGCAATGGGGTTAAGTGACTTGCCCAGGGTCACACAGCTAGTAAGTGTTATGTGTTTAAGGCCACATTTGAACTCAAGTCCTCCTGACTCCAGGGCCGGTACTCTATCTACTGTGCCACCTAGGTGCCCCCTACCACCCCCTTTTAAAAAAAAAAACAAAAACAAATTACTCGGTGCCCCCGTAGAAATCTACTTTCTTTAACCCTTTAGTATTTTTTTAAAATATGCCTCATTTAAAATATATATAATGCATATATATAAAATGCCTCACTTAAAATATATATATACACAAATATATATTTTAAATGACACATCTTAAATTACTAATTTATTATAAATTGTGATTTTTTTCCTGCATTGAAATTTTGATGACACAACACTGTCATGTAACCATATAGTATTGTATTGTAAACAAGTCATTACATGTATATCCTCCTGCCGATGCACATGCATGCTGGACTTCTGACAATGTCCAACACACTGGCCTACCAACACTTGCTTGTTAAGACCTATCAGTGGACTTGACTACTGATCAGCTATAACTTGCATTTTGTGTGTTTATTTGGAAAATAATGTAATCACTACGACTTTAACTCTATTACACAACAGAAGAAACATGTACCAATGAGTTTTCAAAATAGTCTTACCTTTTCTTCTTTCCTTATGCTTCTACCACCCCCTTCTTTCTATTCAAGACCCCCCAATGGCACTCAAGATTACTACTACTCCCCCGGATCATTCCAGCGCCCCCCAGGGAGTGGTATTGTCCACTTTGGGAACTTCTGATCTAGACCAGGCCTGCACAACCTGTGGTCAACGGGCTGCTTATGGCCTGTGGGTATGCCAAAGGATTCTGGATGGCCTGAGAAAAATACCTGAAATCCTTTGGTGTGCTGTAAGTGGTTTGTGGGTCGCAGATTGTGCAGGCCTATTTTAGACCCTCAGGAGATGTTCTGCTAGAATTCTCTATTCTGAACTGCACTGTGGAAGTGTCTTGATTATTTTAATAAATTTCAAGACATTTTCTGTGTGGATATCATTCTATTTCATCCAGTGATCAAAGTATTCAACTCCTCCCAAATTGATTCAGGGCATGTTCACATTTAGTTTACACTTTCTATTAATTCAACAGAGATTTCTAGGCCTTCTGTAATTACATTACTTGGGATGGGGCTTGTGAAATACCCCTTACATGTGTAAGCAGCTTATAGATATCTCCTTTCCAAAAACAAAACCACAAATTATTCCAGTGCAATAACAAATAGGTCTATGAAATAATAAATCAAACTGAACAGCTGAGTATCACTACTCAAACCTAAAGGAAATTTTATGTGTAACTTAGATTTTAATAATGCTTAACCCATCCATAATATAATACTTTTATACCTTTCTCTGGGCAGTCAAGAGGTTCCTTTAAGATCAAACTCTAACTCTTCTCATAGAAACTCTTCAAGAAGTAGGATAAGTTACTGTGTCAACTTCAAAAGCAGGGAAACTGAAGTACAAAGCAAGAGGTGCATGCTGGGTCAGGATCTCACAACATGTCCATAACAGAGCTTGGAATACAACAGAAGTTTTGTGGTTCCCAGATGTTAATCCAGTACCTGGATGTTGTCTCCTGATGATCAAAACATTCTTACTTCAGGTATAGAGGAGCTGAAAGCACCCATTGATGTCTAAATTCAATAGTCATATGTTTATTAACCAAAAAATTGGCAAGAAAGCTAGAAACACTGCTGCTTAAATATTTCTTCTTTAAGGAAGGTTTGTGGGTCATGCCATTTTTTGGTCAAAGTAATAAAGAATGTCTTGGTTTTTTATGAGGTCTTGAGCCAGGGTCCCTGTGATGTCCGGACAGTCCTTTAGTCCACATTGGAGGAGAAACTCAATGCAGGCCAAATGCTGACCTGCACATGCCAGATGTAGGGCTGAGGGAAGATATGATCAAAATGAACATTGTATACCATATCTAAAGCAATCTTGAACTTGTGAATAGATTAACACCATTTAAAGCAACATCTACAAGCTATTTTTGAGCTATTTAGTTGCCTACAATGTATACTTTCAAAAGTTCATCACACTCTCCCCAATGCACCACTAAGATATGCTTTAAATAGAAATAAAGGCTTTTCAAAGTCTAGTGAAGTCTATATGTGGAAAAAAATATCAGCCCCACATATGAGTTTGTTGAAATGAAATAAAATAAATTCTGAGCTGTCCCATTTCGGTGAATTAGGACTGAAATGACTTCCAGGAGCCCACATTTAAAGATTTAGAGTGAAATATACAACTTGGAGACACACTGTAGATACCTACCCAAATATATGCTTAACCTCCCCGTTCCTCAACTTACTCATTTCCCATGACCTATTACTTCCCTCTACCACAGCCACACCTGGAAATAATCATATCCTTGATTTTGTCATCACACAAATGCACCACTTTCATATCATGAACTCTGAAATTCCTTCATCTGATTCAATCTCGTCATTCCACCTTACCGGCTGACTTGCAACCCCAAAACCTATTCTCTATCCTCCCTGTGATCTCTAATTCCTTGACCCCTCAGTTCTTTCCCAGGCCATCACCACTGCATTGGCTACATTTTCCTTCCTTCGAGATCTTAATCACTTGATGAACCAGTTTAACTCTACACTGTCTTCTTCTCCTGGGGCCTTTGTGCCCTTAGCCTATTGAAGCTCTTGACTTGTCAAGCCTCCCACCATCCACTGCCTTCTAATCATGCTGCTGAATGAGGATGGAGAATATCATAGAACTATGCTGCTAACTGTTCCACTACAAATTTATGTAACATAATCTCAACTGGGCCCTAACTATGGCAAGGCAATTATTTTACACCTCCCTAACTGATGCACCATCCCACTTTCCACAGCCGCTCTTACAGCCCTTTTCATCTCTTCTCAAACCTACCACAACTCCCTCTCTTCCCACCTTCTCACCTGGCCTCACATTTCACTGAAAAAACTGAAGCCCTTCTCCAAAGAGCTAGCTCCCTTTTCTCCCCTCCTCTGTATCATAGATCACTTAAGTGCCTTCCATCCCTTTCTCTCCCTTAAACTCTGTCTCATGAGACGAGGTGGCCCTTCTTGACAAGGCAAAACAATTGGCTTCTCCAGCAGACTGCCCCCTCCATCATTCCTCTCATCTTCAGTCTCTGTCTTCTGGCTCCTCTACTGCTGACAAATATTCCTAGGACTCCCCCCCACCCCCGCCTCCATAAACTCTCACTTCATCCATCCCTGCTATTTACTGTTCTATGTCTCTTTTCCCTTTTGAGGTTAAACTCCTTGAATAGGCCATTTGCAGCTGATGCCTCCACTTCCTCTCCTCTCACTCTCTTCTTAATTCTCTGCAGTATGGCTTCAAACTTCAAAACTGCTCTCTCCAAAGTTACCCATCATCTCTTACTCACAATATCTAATGGTCTTTTATCGATGCTCAATTTTCTTGACCTCTCTGCAGTCTTTGATATTGTTGATCGCCCACTTCTTGATAATCTCTTCTCTTTAGGTTTTCGTGATGCTGCTTTCCCCTGGTTCTTCTCCTACCTGTCTGACCATTCCTTCTCAGTCTCCTTTACTAGATCTTCATCCAGGTCATGCCCATTAACCATAAGGGTCCCCTGAGGCTCTGTCCTGGGCCCTATTTTCCTCTCCCTCTCTAATATTTCATTTGATGATCTCATCAATTCCCACGGATTAAATTATGCAGATGGTGATCAGATTTATTTGAACAGCCCTAACCTCTCTCCACAACTGCATTATCACATCTCCAACTGTCTATTAGATATCTTGAATTGGATGTCTTATAGACATTTTCAACTCAATATGTCCAAAGCTGAACTCATTATCTTTCTCCCCCAAAGCTCCCCAAGATAAAATATATGTAAATATACATATACATATAGTACACATATTCATATATATAACATACATATATGTATATGATACATACATATAGTCTACCCTGGTTATATCTATAATAGAGAATAGTTATATATATATGTGTGTGTGTGTGCATATATATTTATATACACACCCCCCCCAAGGTAGAAATGACAGGACTTGACCTAATTGATTTTGGGGGTGTGTGTGTGTGTGTGTGTGTGTGTGTGTGTGTGTGTGTGTGTGTGTAAGAATGAGTAACTGAAGATGATACCTAGCCTGAGTGTTGTGGTCTCCTAGATAGTAATACGGATGTAAAAAAGAGGGGAGGGTTTGCAAGGGTGAGGAACCTGCAGTGTTGAGGCCACATGTGGCTCTCTAGGTTCTCAAGTGTGGCCCTTTGACTGAATCCAAACTTCACAGAACAAATCCCCTTAACAAAAGGATTTGTTCTGTAAAACTTGGACTCAGTCAAAAGGTTGCAGCCAAGTACCTAGAAAACCACATGTGGCCTTGAGGCTGCAGGTTCCCCACCCCTGGTTTAGGAAGAAAGATAATTAATTCGGTTTTGGACATGTTGAGTTGAAGATGTCTATAGGACATTCAAGTTAAGCTATCTAATAGACAATTGGAGATGTGACAGCATAGCATGGAGAGAGGTTAGGGCTATTCAAGTGAAACTGAGAATCATCTGCATAGAAATGATAATTGAATCCACAGAGATTCACACACACATACAATCCTTTCTCTCCTCTGATATATTGCCACCACCCTGCTTGAGGCCCTTATCACCTCATGCCTGGATTATTGCAATAACCTTATGTTAATGGTAGGGTCTGCCCAGCACAAGTCTCTCCCTACTCAATCCATCCTACTCCAATCCATCCTTCATCCAGCTGTCACATTGATCTTCCTAAAGAACAAGTCTGACCACATCACCCCCATGTTTAATAAACTCCAGTGGCTCCCTTGTAGGATCAAATAAAAGATCCTCTTTTGGCTTTTAATGCACTTCATAACTTGACCTCTACCTACCTTTCCTCTCCATTTACTCTTCAATCTGGTGACACTGGCCTCCTCACTGTTTCTCCCACAGGACACTTCATCTCCATCTCTAGGCATTTTCACAGGCTGTCCCCTGCACCTAGAACTCTTTCCCACCTCATCTCTGCCTCTTTGCTTCCCTGACTTCCTTCTAGTCTTAGTTAAAGTCCCACCTTCTACAAGAAGCATTCCCAGTCCTCCTTAGGTGGCACAGTAAATAGAATTCTGGGCTGGGAGTCAGGAAGACCTGAGTTCAAATCTTTCCTCAGACACTTCTCACCAGTGTGTCCTTTGTTAAGTCACTTAACCTTTCTCAGTCAGTTTCCTTATCTGTGAAATAGGGAATAATAATAACACCTACCTCTCAGGGTTGTTGTGAAGATAAAATGACATAATACTTGTAAAGTTCTTTGTAAACTTTGGAGTTCTTAATCAGTATTTGTCATTCTTATTTTTTTATTCTTATTCTCTCTGAGATTATTTACAACTTACCCTGTATATATCCTATTTATACGTAGCTTTTTGCAAGTTGTCTTTTCCTTTAGACTGTGAGCTCCTTGAGAGCAAGGACTGTTTTTTGCCTTCTTTGCATCCCTAGGGCCTGGTACACAGAAGGTGCTTAATACATGTTTTTTGACTAACTGAATTATTAACCTATTAATCTAAAGACAAGGTACACATACATAGATTGGCTGGTATGATTAAGAATCAGCCGGGGTCCAAAGAAGTCATTATTTAGTTTTGTAAATGGAATAAATGATCTCATTTTTTAGAAGACACTAATTCAGCAAGGCATAGTAGAAAGAGGTCCAGGTAGACCTAGTTTCACTTCCCACCTCTCACATCTGTTGGCTGGGTGACACACTGATGCTCTAGACCAGAGTTTCTCAAACTTATTTGGTCTACTGCCCCCTTTTCAAAGAAAAGTACTCATTGACCCCCTGGAAATCTACATCCTTTATAATCCTTTAACGGTTTTTAAAAATTTGTGTCTTTTCAAAAAAAATATAAAATAATTTTAAAAAATGACATCTTAAATTTAATAATTTGTTGCAAATTTATGTTTTTTTCCGGCATTGAAATTTCCTGCATTGAAATTTTGATCACACAATATTGTCATGTAACCTTATAGTATCGTATTGTAACAAGTCAACAAGTAACACATCTCTCTGCCGATGCACATGCATGCTGGACTTCACGACAATGCCCGACATACTGGCCTACCAAAACTTGCTTGTTAAGACCTGTCAGTGGACTTGACCACTCATCACTTATAACTTGCATTTTGTGTATTTATTTGGAAAATAATATAATCATTATGACTTTAACTCTGTTACACAACAAATAAAACATGTACAAATGGTTTTTCAAAATGTTCTTAACTTCTCTTCTTTCCTTATGCTTCCATTGCCCCTTTCTTTTTATTCAATGCCCCCCCCCCAATTGCACCCAAGGCTACTACTGCCCCCTTGGACTGTTCCAGGCCCCCACCCTGACCCTAGGGTGATATCGCCCACTTTGGGAACCTCTGAGAGACCAATGGTGTCAAACTCAAAGAGGAATGGACGTCTGCCTGCTGCATATTGATTTAGAAAACCACAAATTAACATTATCTATATTGTATTGTATTTTTATTTTGTTAAAGATTTCCCAATTATATTTTAGTCTGATTTTGCCACAAATGAGAGGTTTGAAGCTGCTTGCCCATAAGCAAGTTTGACACCTCTGCTCTAGATAACTAAGACAATAAATTGCAAAGATGCAGATCTTCTTTGGAGAGGGTATTTCCTTGCCCAGAAGTTCCCTCAGCCAATGAGATTACAGATGCAGGCCTTATGCCTAATTAATGAAATGTAATCCTCCTAAAATGTTACTCGGCTACTTCATCACTGTGCCCTCAAAGTGTGTGTCAGTTAAGGTAGGGACTGACAAGTTCTATCAGGTCCTATCAAGCTGTAAATGCTTTGGGTATAAGCCTGATGATAGCCACCATGTTTTAGTTTAGCTAAATTTCAAAAGGTCATTACTATTCCCAGTCACTAGGTGATGAATTTCTTTGGCCATAGCAACTCATGAAACTATCTACTAAGGCTCAGAGTGTTGCAATTTGCATCACTGGAAATTTCATTCTAATGAAATTACAAATTCTTTGGAGCAAGTATTTCATATGAAACTCAAATAAGATCCGAATTCAATTTACAAATAATTTACAAGGTTTGTTTATATTGAGCATCAGTGACATAAATTCTTACCTGATCGATTTCTTCCATCTTTAGACTCAAGGTCAGCTCCCAAAGACAAGAGAGTCTTTACTGTATTTGTATGTCCCTCCTGATTTATAAAATACATTAATTTCATTAATGTCGAGTTGAAATCAGGTTTTAAAAATATATTCTAATATGCCAACTACTTCTTTTTTTGCCATCTTTTTACTAATACTATTTGTTTTTATATCATTTTCATTTGTGAATATGTCCCTCCCTCTTTCTTCTCTCTCTTTCCATTCACTTATAAAAAAGACTAAAGAAGAAAGAGGAGGAAAGTAGGAAGGAACCCCTGACCACTATAGATACAAGCTTCCTAGAATCTAAGATAACTATTCACTTCTGTACTCTTGTGTGAATCTCACAAAATAGGGGCCAATTTAACCACTGTACAACAGCAGGGACACTGTGCGAACCTAGCTTTAAGTACCTCCTCTTCTGGAGTTAATGGAACTCCCAGAGTTTACCTGTAGCATACAGGCCAGTTAAATTGCTCTTGCACGCTTATGGTTACCTTAAATATAGTTTTCATGGAAATATGGGGTAGTGATGAATTAAAAGACACTATGAAAATGTAACACACAGCATCAAAAAGTCTAACACCAACTGGTTGTATATAATAGGACTCACACTACATCCTTTGCTTACAAGTGTAGGAGATCACTTAAGTAACTCATAAACTTTTTTTGTCTGTGGCTGGTTAGTTCAGTTATTTAGCGTGTTATGATACTGAGGCTACAATCATGAGTTCAGTTCGGAACACAACCCTTAAAGCCTGATGGGAGGCTCATAAGATTATAGATTTTGAGTTGGACAGGTCTTTAGCAGTCCAGTTCAACCCTGTCTTTTTACAGATAAGGAAACTGAAGCCAAGAGTCACAGTGTGTCCAAAGTCACACGCAGGCAGGACTGGAATTTGAATGAAGGTTCTCAAACTCTAAATCCAGCATTCTTTCCACTATACTACACTGCTCCTAGAGGTAAAACTCCTTTTGATTGGTGGAAATTAATTTGTCTAAGTAGTTTATGAATCATAATATATAAATTCATATTCTTTTAATACCTTAACCCCCAATTTCATGAACAATAAATAAGGAGAGTCTATTGAGTACAACTTATATGAGTCTTTATAGATTCAAATTAAACTTTTTAAAAATGTAGAAACCAGGTATCTCATGAATATAATAGCTTTTTTAAGATTAAAAATTTTTTAAAAAATATTACCTATTGTGCATGAGATTGGGGGTGGGGTATTAAAAGAATATGAATTTACATATTATGATGCATAAACCATTTAGACCAATTAATTTCCACCAATCAATAAGCATTTTAATTTACCTGTAGAAGCAGTATAATATAGTGGAAAAAGTGCTGGATTTAGAGTTTGAGGACCTTCATTCAAATTCCAGTCCTGCCTCTGTGTGACTTGGAACACACTTCCAGACCCTTATTTTTTAAACAAGTTAACTCTTGCTTGATTCTGATTGATTTATTCAAGAGATGTTCTCACTGAACAAAAATAATTACTTTAAATGTGGGGAAATCAATGGAGCCCCACCCTTATAGGGCAGATTTCTACGTTGTGGCCTATTTAATTTCAGAAGGATTACTATTCAGAATTCACCTACTTTAGGAGTTGTGCCACAGGTGACTTTGTCAAACCAACTCACACAAAAGAGTTAAAAGATGTTAAAAATTATCCAGTGAGGCAGCTGGCTAACAAGTCAGAATAGGGATAGGAACACCATTACAAAAATAAAACCAACCTTAGCCGCATAGTGGAGGGCTGTGTAATGCGTTAATGTTACTCTCTCATCAACTCCAACACCAAGATCAGTGACTAGGAATCGAACAGCTTTATCTTGACCAGTGACTGCTGCTTTGTGCAAAGCTTGGGCACCTAGGATATCCTTGGCTGTGAAACAAGCCTATTGGGTGGAAAAAAAGACAAGAGAGAATAACAACAACTTCATAAGAAAATTAGAGTAAAGGAGTAGATGGGTTTGTTAATAACAGTACTGTAATAGCTAGATATAATGCTTTAAGGTTTACAAAGTGCTTCACATAATATTATTTTACTCTCATGCTAACCCTGTAAGGTAGGTGCTATTATTATTACCAATTCCATTTTACAGATGAGGAAACTGAGGGTGAGAAAAGTTAAGTGACTTGTCAGGATCACACAGCTAGAAACTAAGGCAGATTAGATTGAACCCACGCCTTCTTGGCTCTAAGCTACCTTATTCATAATGGGAGTTAATTTTACAAATAGTATGACAGATTTTACAGATTGTGGGTTGAAAAACTCTCCACTTCTTTTATATCCTTTTTGGTCACTACCTTTAGATAAAGTAAAGTAGGTATTATTATCTCCATTTCCATTAATCAATAAGTATTTGTTAAGAGCCTACTAGGTGCCAGGCACTGCACTGGGTTTTGGGGATACAAATAAAAAAAAGGAAAATGCTTACTTGAAATGAGTAAACGTAAGTTTTAATGGGGTAGAGTAGGGGGAGAGAGATAAGTACATATAAAAATATATATAGCCTGAGAGATTAAGTGCTTTCTTCAGGACTGTGCAGCCAATAATCATTTGGAGCAGAATTTGAACCCAGATTTTCCTGCCTCCAAATTCAGCACTTGATCCACTGTGGTGTTACTGCCTCTATGAAGACATGCAGACAAAATAAAAAAATATTGAATCCACACATAAATGTATAGGAAAGCATTTGGTTTAATGGATAGATAAGTGGTCAAAGGATATCAAAAATCAATTCTCAAAAGAATTCTGAAGTATTCACAACCATCTCAAGGAATACTCCAAATCTCTAATAATAAGAGAAGTGAAAATAAAAATAACCCTGAGGTTTTACCTTACATGCTGCAAATTGGCAAAGATGGCAAAAAATAGTGATAGTCAATGTTGATGAGATTGTGGGAGGATAGGTACATTGCTGGTGGAGCTATGAGTTGGTATACCATTTTGGAAAGCAATTTGGAATTGTGCAAATAAAGTGATTATAATGTCCAGAGATTCCACTACTTTGCTAAAGAAGCCACAGTTAGTAAAAAAGTTCCTAGATGCAGCAAAATATTTATTGCTGAACTTTTTATAACAGCAAAGAATTGGAAACAATGTAGATGCCTATGGATCGGGGAAATGGTTAAACAAACTGTGATACATGAATGTAATGGAATACTACCATGCTGTAAGAAACTATGAATGTGATGAATACAGAAGCATAAAAAGATCTACATAAACTGAAGAAGAATCAAGCAGAGCCAAGAAAATAATACACACAATGACTATAATAATTTAAATAGCAACCACACACTCAAAAACAAAAAATGAATGTAGCAAAATCATAAAGATCAAATAAGACTCGAAATAAGACATATAAGAGGACACTCCCTCTCTACCCTTTTGTGGAGAAAGGAGGTCCACAGGTGATGTACACGTTTTCAGACTTTTTCAACGTATTGATCGGTTGTGCTGATTTTTCCTTTGTCTCTTTCTTTCTTTCTTTTTTTTTTTGGTCTTAAAAAAATAGTATTTGTTATATGGGATGGCTCTCTGGGAGGGAGAGGTATACTGCATAAAACTATGATGATATTAAAAAACCCAAAAGATATCAATAAAACTATTTTAAAATATATGTATATGGACAGAATAAACATACAGTTAATAAATGCATATATATATATGTACATACACACATTAGTTAAATAGAAGGTAATTTGGGAGGATACTGTAACTGGTGGTGGGGAATCAGGAAAGGCTTCCTGCAGAAAACGGTGTCTGAACTGCATGCCAAAGGAAAAGAGAGATTCTATGAGACAGAAGCACAGAGTGTGTTCCAGGCATGTGGGATGGTCATTGCAAAAGTAGAGCAAAGGGAGCTGGCATGTCATGAGTAAGTACCATTCCAAACTGAAAAGGTCAATCAGGCTGGATCTCAGAGTACAAAAGAGAGAGTAATAGTATAAAGATAGCTTGAAGCCATATTATATAGGCTTTAAAAGCTAAAAAAGAGGAATTTCTATTTTGTAGATGTGACAGGAAACTAATGGAGCTAGTTAAGTAGGAGAGTCATACGGTCAAATCTGTGCTTAAGGTGAATTACTTTGGCGGTGGTGGGTAGGATGGACTAGAATAGTTACGAGACTTGAGGAAGGGAGATCAATTAGAAGGGCATTGCAATAATTCAGATGAAAAGTGATGAGGGCCTGAAGTGATGTAGTAGCTGTGTGTGGAGAGAAAGGGTCGGAAGCAAGTCATGCTGTGAAGTGAAAAGCAATAGGGCAAGGGAAAGTGAAGAGTCTAGGATGATGTGGAGATTATGAGCTCAAGACACTAGAAGGATGATGGTGCCTTCAACAGAAACACAGAAATTTGGAAGAGGGGGAAAGATGAGTTTAGTTTTAGACATGTGAGTTTAAGATGTTTCTAAGACATCCAGTTTGAAATGTCCAGTGAGCATTTGGTGATCTAGGATTGAAGCTCGAAGGAGAGACTTTCTATGGATAAAACAAAATGAGGTTCAGAGATGTTCTGGCCATGGTAAGAAGGCTAGTGAGCAGAACCCAGGGCTTCTGAATTCAAATCCACTGTTCTTTCTGTGCCTTTCTATACATTTATATGTGAATTCAATATTTTTCATTTTGTCTGAATGTCTTCATAGAGCCAGTATACTACAGTGGAAGGGCAGTTAGGTGGCACAGTGGAAAGAGGGCAGGACCTAGAGTCAGGAAAACTGGTCTTCCTGAATTCAAATATGGCCTCAGATACTTACTGGCTGTGTGACCCTGCACAAGTCACTTAACCTTGTTTGCTTCAGTTTTCTCATCTATAAAATGAGCTGGAGAAGGAAATGGCAAACCACTCCATTATCTTTCTCAAGAAAGCCCTACATGGGATCACAAAAAGTTGGACACAACTGAAATGCCTCAACAACAGCAACAACATCCACAGTGGTAAGAGTGCTAAATTTGGAGGCAGGAAAGTATGTGTTCAAATACTCTTTCAGACAATTGTTAGCCACATGACCTGGGAGAAGGTACTTAGCCTCTCTCAGGCTCATTTTTCTCATTTATTAAATAGGGATCATAATAGCGCCTGCCTTACAAGGTTATTATGAGGATAATATAACATAAGTAAAGCATTTTGCAAACCTTAAATTGCATCAAAAACTTTTATTAACTACTTATTTTGTGTCAGGCATTAGCTGGGAATATAAAGAAAAAGCAAAACCAGTTCCTGCCTTCAAGCATTCTGCAAGTGGAGATAGCACCTATACAAATAAGTACCAATAAGATACATAAAGAATAGATAGGAAATAATCTTAGAAAAGGAAATACTAGCAGCTGGGAATCTGCAAAGATTTTCTGAAAAAAGTTGTGTTTGAGCTTAGCCTTGAAAGAACTTTAGATGTAATCTAGTCCTCCTTGTTTTACAGATGAGGAAACTGAGACAGAGAAAAATTATTTGTCCGAGGTCTCACAGCTAATCTGTGACTGAACCAGTGAATCTTACATCCAGTCCAGTGCTCTTTCCATCCCACTAGGCAATGTGTCCATGTTAGTGTTATTTCTCCTAAAACATAAATTTGAGAGCAAGTATCATGTCTCTTTGTACAGGTTCCTTTACAATTAAGCAAATTTTCATGAAGATGACTGAGCAGTTCAGCCCTGACCTCTCTCAGGATCACTAGTCTCACATTTCCAACTGCCTAACAGACATCTCAAACTGTATGTCCCATGTTTCAGACATTTTTCAGTCATGTTGGACTCTTTGTGACCCAATTTGGGGTTTTCTTGGCAAAGATACTGGAGTGGTTTGCCATTTCCTTCTCCAAAATCATGTCCCATAGATATTGAAACTCAATATATCCAAAACTGAAGTCATTTTTTTCCCCCAAACCTTCCCTTCTTCCTAACTTCCCTGTTATTGTGAAGGATGCCACAATCCTTCCAGTTGCCCAGGTGTCATCCTCAAATACTTTACTCTTTCTCATTCTCCCATACCCAATCTATTGCCAACTTTTGCTGTTTCTATCTTGGTTACTTCTCTCCTATATACCCTTGTCTCTCCTCTGACATGGCCACCACCTTGGTGCAGGTCTTCATCACCTCATACCTGGGCTACTACAATAGCTTGCTGCTGGGTCTCCCCACCGCAAGTCTTTCCCTACTCCAATCCATCCTCCACTTATCTGTCAAACTGATCTTCCTAAAAAATAAGTGTGAGCATATCCCTCCCCTATTCAATCTACCCCAGGGGCTCCCTATTGCCTAGAGCATTCTTATTATGAGCTTCATAACTGGGCCCCTTCTACCTTTCCAGTCTTCTCATACCTTAATCCCTTCCACTTACTCTGCTATCCAGTGACACTGACCTCCTGGTTATTCCTCACACATGACACTCCATCTCCAACTTCTCTGGTAATCTCCCATGCCTGGAAAGTTCTCCCTTTTCATCTGTGCCTTCCAGCTTCCCTGGGTTCCTTCACCCCTACCTTTTACAAGAAGCCTTTCCTAGACCTCTTTAATCTTAGCACTTTCCCTTTGCAATGACCTCCAATTTATCTTATATTTCTTGTACATAGTTGTTTTCATGTTGTCTCTCTCATTAGACAGTGAGCTCCTTGAGGATGGAGACTTTTTTTTTCGCCTTTTCGTATCCTTCGTGCTTAGCAGAGTGTCTGGCATATAGCAGGCAGTTAATAAATGCCGGCTGGTTGACTGACTACCAAAGAAAATGGAAATGCAACTCAATTTAATTTGATTACGTCTTTAAAAAATAATGAAATATTAGCTGGGTATTGGAATGATAGTATAAAAGATGGGTTGGGAATTTCATGTAGATTTTATTTATCCATGTGACATGTCCTCAATTACGAAAAACTGAGAACCAACTGTATATATTTAACAGTATTATCTTCATGTCACCGAAAATTAAAGTGTTTTAACCAGTATCCTAGAGAAATTTGGTTGTGGAAGACTATTAAACTAGAACACAAATCTTTCTGACTGCCAAAATAGTGTCAAAAGTTGAGTCTGCCAGCATGGACTTTCCTGCCTAGCAGTTTTCCCCTTCAATTTGTAGACTCAAATTAATGAAATAGAATAGTGTCCATACCTTATGTTTTTCAAGGAGGAGTTGAGCTACGTTGATGTGGCCACATTGTACTGCATCCATAAAGGGAGTAATGCCACATTGGTCTCTGCTGTCTGGTTCATAATGGCACCTACAATCAAAGCAGGAAAGAGAGGAGTTGAGAAAATGGTAGCTTCAAACTCAATATCCAGTCAACTTTTTATCACCCATAAGAGGATTATCTGATATGCAAACTATTTACAGAGATCTGGGGCTGTCCTATCCTTTGAATTTTTATCCAAATACCCCAGTGAAGAGGAATTTGAAAGGGATAGGGGGAGACTTAATGTTTGAAGGTCTACTCCAGGGTGTTCCCTGTATATGCATTTCTGAGTGTATATGTGCTCTTCTGATTGCATTTTATAAGGTAAATATATATGGATTTTAGGTAGTATATTCCTTTGTTTCATCCTTGCATTTGTCCTCTTTCGTTTCATTTACCTCTCATTTACGACTTTCAACAGTTTCCATAGATTTAATAATTATCTTTCTATAGTTAACTCTCTCATCTATATATCCAGACCTAGTCCTGAGTTCCAGGCCTGTATCACTGACGATTGGATATTTCTTTTTCTTTTTTTTTTCTTTTTTTGGTGAGGCAATTGGGGTTAAGTGATTTGCCTAGGGTCACAAGCTAGTGAGTATCATGTGTCTGAGGCTGGATATGAACTTAGGTCCTCCTGCTCCTGGGCCGGTACTCTATCCACTGTGCCACCTAGCAAAAAAAGAGGAATTTCTATTTTGTAGATTTAACAGGAAACTAATGGAGTTAGTTAAGTAGGAGAATCATATGATCAAATCCATGCTTAAGGTGAATTCCTTTGGCAGTGATGGGCAGGATGGATTAGAGTGGTTAAGAGACTTGAGGAAGGGAGATCAATTAGAAGGGCATTGAAATAATCTCCCTTACCCTCTGTGACTAGAGGGAGGAGATTCTAGCTTTGAAGGATCTGAAGAATGTTGGACTTCCTATACTCCCTTTGGTATTCTAAATGGTATCCTTGATCAGCTGGCAACAGTGTCTACACTGGGAACCAATGGTTGATTAAATACAGATTTACCATGCTTAAGGGGAATTTCTTGAGCAGTCCACAAATGGAGAAAAGAACTCCAACAGCCAAGAGATTACATGTAACTCCTTTGCTGCCTGTGGTCTCTAAGCCAGAGCCTACTTTCTCGCAGATGTTACACTTACTTGTTGGAGAATATATTACATGTTTTTGGAGGGATCATTTGTACCAACTGTGTACCAACTTAGTACATTCCCTTTCCAAAAAACCATAAGTATATGGCTGGCTGATCAAGTGATTTTCAACTGATAATCTAAAGGAAGAAGCATATCAGTGAGGTTTGGAGCCAATTCAATGAGAGACTATTCATACTCCTCAGGGGTTCCTCTAGGACCTTGAAGGGGAAAATATAACCAGTCTAGCAATAAGAATTTGATTTGTGTATTAAGAGTGGCAGTTGGGATAAAGATCATAAAAACATATATAGGTTACATACATAAAGCCTTTTCTGATTCCCCCAACTGCTAGTGTTTCCCCCTCCTCAATTACCTTGTGCCTATTTATATATGTAAATCTCTCCCCAATATAATATAAACTACTTGAAAATAAGGATTGTTGTACCTCTGTCTTTGTATCTTCAGTGCCTAGCAGAGTGCCTGGCATATAGTAGATTCTTAAATGCTTTTGGTTGCCACTTCATTACCATAAATAATTTAATGAGGGGGCTGAAGGGAGGAGGGACAGTCTAAGACATGGGATTTCATTGGTGTAGGGAATACCTCATTAGAAAAACTCCCTCCACCAATTCTGACAGGTAACTCTTTTGCATCTTATAGTAATTGAAGTTGCCTGAGGCATTAAGAGTTTAAGTGATTTGCTCAGACTTACAGTGACTAAGTGTCTGAAGCAAGATTTAGACCCAGGTCCTTTTATTCCAAATGTTGAATTTACTCCATAACACCCTGGCTACCTAGCCCAGACCATGTGTACTTCACTGCTGGGAGTACACTAACAGAAGTCAGCTTACCTCTCGAGAAGCAACTCCACTGCCTCTAAGCAGCCATGCATTGCTGGTATTGAGATGGAGAGAGAATGAAAAAAATTAGAGCTTTTCAGCATTCAGACAACCAACTTCCTTCTCCAAACTCTAGTGTTCTAATTCTTTGCAGATAATCATTTTTACGAGAAAAAAATCAGTTTTAGAAATGTAGACAAATTCTACCTATTAATTAGAGAGACTCGCTGAAACCATTAGGATGAGGACCTCAGTGGGTTAATGAATTTAAAAATATGGAGGAGATGATCAGATTTTCTTAGAGATTTCAAGTCCTTCATTGGAAGCACTTATCTTTCTAAAGGAGTGATTTTGTGCTCAGCTCTATACTAGGGAGGAGAAAAGGAAAACATTCACAAGATTTAAGTGTCCAAAGGAGATTTATTAGAAAGACATTCCTTACACCCAGATGGAGATGGTGGTGGAATCCTGAATCAAAACTGAGATAAAGCTTCAGGAGCTCCCCAGACTGGGGTGACATGGCAGATCTAAAGGTAACTTTCAAGCTTTTTCTTTTTGTATAGGAAAAGTATCATCTCTGACATGTGCTGGAGAAGCTTCCTCTTTCTTGGAGGCTCCAGCATGGTGACTGGTGGGGAGTAAGGTGCTATCTGCTATTTCTGTGTCCAGATCTGTGCTTTGGGATCTTTGATCCTGGGAACTGGTAGAGGTGGATGAGAGTAAGGTAGTGAAATGTCCCCAAGGTTAGCCAGCAATGGAGACAAGGAACGTTTTTTTTCTATGATGCCTGATGCTATGGAGATTTTAAGCCCGTACAGACAATTTATCTATGGGGTTATTATTGGGAAAAAAGAGGAAAACCTTGGCTGGTTTTGAGAATAAAAGCAAAAAGCAAAGAACAATGAGTACTTACAGGATACATGCCAGTAATATAGACAGAAATTCCCAGGGAGTTCAGAAGGACTACCAGAATAAAGCCTTGGGTTATTCTCACAAGTAAGGAATCAAAGGGTTTATAGAGGTGCTTAAATAATTTTTAAAAAAAATTCTTAGGAGCAGCTAGGTGGTGCAGTGGATAGGGCTCTGGCCTTGGAGTCAGGAGGACCTGTGTTCAAATCCAGTCTCACATCAGACACTTGACACTTGCTAGCTGTGTGACTTAACCCCAAGTCATTTAACCCCAATTGTCTCACCAAAAAAAAAAAAATTAAAAAATTTTGTGATTCTAAATATGAAAGCTAACTCAGATTCCATAAGGAAAGGAAAATGAACTTTTTTTCTTTTTTAAAATGTTTGTATTGTTATTTTCTGTTTACTACATCACTATGGTTATCCCGTTTCCATCTCCCTCCCGCTCCCAGAGAGCCACGCTATACAACATAATATTTTTCTAGAGAGAAAAAAAAATCAGCATAACTGATTGATACATTGAAAAAGTACAAGAAAATGTGCAATGTGTTTTGTAGACCTCCCACCTCTATGAAGGGGTAGATTGAAGGTGTCTTCAAATTTTTCTTCATTTGAATCTTTATACTTTTGTTATATTTATTTTTGAATTTTTGGTGTGTAGTTCTCTTGTTTTACATTGTTGTAGTCATTGTTCACACTGTTTTCTTGTCTCTGTTTACTTTACTCTGCATCAGTTAATATAGATCTTTCTATGCTTCTTGGTATCCATCACACACACAATTTCTTACAGTACAGTACTATACAGTACAGTAATATTATATTACATTCAGGTAGCACACTTTGTTTAGCCATTCTCCAATCAAAGGGCATCACTTTGTTTCCAATTCTTAAGTATCACAAAAATATGTTGCCATAATTGATTTGGAGTATATAAGGGCTTTTTTCTTATCAGAGGCTTTCTTGGAGATATGTCCAGTATCTGGTTCAAAGAGTATGTACATTTTAGTCACCTTATTTACATAATTCCAAATTGCTTTCCAATGACTGGAAAGCTTCGCCAACAAAGTATTAGTGTGTCTATTTTTTGACAGCCCTTTCAACATTTACTGCTAGCATTTTGGGGTCATTTTTGTCAATTTGCAGGGTGTGAAGTAAAACCTCAGGGTTGTTGTGATTTGCATTTCTCTTAATATTAGTGATTTGGAGCATTTTAAAATGTGGTTGTGAATACTTTGTAGTTCTTTTGAAAACTGTTGGTTCATATTCTTTAACCATTTATCTATTGGAGAATGGGTGTTAGTCTTATAAATGTTAATTATTTCTATATCTTGCATAGTAAAACCTTTGGAAAAATTTGATACAAATATTTTCCCCCTTTGATCACTTCTCTTCTTACCCGGATGCATTAATGTTGTCTGTGCAGAAGCTTTTCAACTTCAGGTAATCAAAGTTATCTATTTTATGTTTTGTAATTACTTCTATCTCATGTTTAGTTAAGAATACATCTCCTACATAGTTTTAAGAATATATGATCAGATTTTCTTCTAATTTTTTAATAGTATGATTTTTAATATTAAGGGCATGTATCCATTTAGACAAGATCTGGTAGGTGGCACAGTAGATAGAGTGTCAGACCTGGAGTCAGAAAGACCTGAGTTCAAATCAGGCCTCAGACACTTACTAGCTGTATGACCCTGGACAAGTATCCTGTTTGCCTCAGTTTCATCATTTGTAAAATGAGCTGGAGAAGGAAATGGCAAACCACTCCAGTATCTTTGCCAAGAAAACCCTAAATGGGGTCATGAAGAGTCGGACACAACTGAAATGAATGAACAACAATAACATCCATTTAGACCGAATTGTCGAGTGTGGTATATAAGGTGTTGGTCTAAGCTTAATTTCTGCCAGACTACTTTCCAGTCTTCTGAACAGTTTTTATCAAATAGGGAATTTTTCCCTAAGTAACTTATGTATTCTACTTTATCAAACACTAGGTTATTGATTTCTATTGTTTCTGAATCTTTCTTGTCTAGGCTGTTCCATTTATCTACCTCTCTATTCTTTAGCCAATACCAGATGGTTTTGATGACTGCTGCTTTATAATGTATTTTGAGGTTTAGAAGAGCTAGTCATCCTTCATCCCTACTTCTTTTAATCATTTCCCTTGATATTCTAGATATTTTGTTTTTCCAAATGAATTTTATTAATATTTTATCAAGGTCTATAAAATATCCCCTTGGTAATTTGATTGGTTTAGCTTTAAGAGAGTAAACTAATTTTGGTAGGATTATCATTTTCATTATGGCATGTATGGCCAAGTCATGAGCACTGAAGATTCCTCCAACTATTTAATTCTTTAAAGAACACTTTGAAGAAAAAAAAAAAAAGAACACTTTGTAATTGAATCTATACAAGTGTTTTGTATGCTTTGAGACATTGATCCTCTGATATTTTGTGCATTTTTAGTCATCTGGAATGGGATTTCCTTTTCTATTACTGCTTTTTGGACTTTGTTATTGTTATATTAGAAATGTTGTTGATTTTTGAGGAGTTATTTTATAGCCTGCAGCTCTACTGAAGCTATTATCCCAATTAGTATCTTTACTGAGTGCCTAGGATTTTCCAAGTAAATCATTATGTCATCAGCAGAGATAGTTTTATCTTCCCTTTGGTGCCTTAATTTCTTTACTGCTAGCATTTCCATAATTATATCAAATAATATTAGAGAGAGTGGGCATCCTTGCTTCAATCAAGTATTTTTTTAGAAAAGGTTCTAGTGGATCTCCATTACATATGATGCTTCCTTTTGGTTTTAATTGCTTTTTATTATATTTTTTAAAAGGTTGCCCTATGCCTATACTTTATAGGGTTTTTTAAGCATAAAAGAGTATACTTTGTCAAAGATTTTTTTGCATCTATTGAGATGACAATGTGGTTTTGGATGTTTAGGTTTTTAAGAAGATTAATTATGTTGACTGTTTTCTTAATGTTGAAACATCTTTGCATTCCTGGCATTAGACCCACTTGGGCATAATGAATGATTTCTTGGATAAATTTCTAGTCTGTTTGACAGGATTTTGTTTAAAATTTTTGAGTGAATGTTTATTAATGATACTCATCTATAGTTTTCTTTCTGTATTTCACCTTTCTCTGGTGTAAGTATTAAGATTATATTTGTTATACTAATTCGTTGTTGGTAAAATTGTGAACTGATCCAACCATTTTGGAGAGCAATCTGGAATTATGCCCAAAGATATACCCTTTGACCCAGTAGTACCACTACTTGGTCTATTTCCAAAGATGATTGGATAAAAAGGAAAAGAACCTATATGTTCTAGAATGTTTATAGCAGCTCTCTTTGTGGTGGCAAAGAACTGGAAATTGCAGGGATGCCCATCAATTGGGGAATGGCTGAACAAGCTGTGGTATGTGATTGTAACGGAATATTACTGTGCTACAAGAAATGATAAGCTCAATGATTTTAGAAAAACATGGAAAAACTTGTACAAATAATGAAGAGTGAAATGAGCAGAACCAAGAGAACATTGTATATAGTAACAGCAATATTGTTTTAAGAACGACTTTGAGTGAATGTTATTTTGTCTATTATAAATACCCAAATTAACTATATAAAGAACATATGAAGAAAGATGCTAGCTGCATCCAGAAAAAGAACTGATAAATTGAAGTATAGAATAATTTTACATATACATAATTTGCATTTATATTTGTATCTAACGGTAGCCATGTCTAGGGTGGGAGGGGGAGGAAAGAAGAAAAGACAAAAAAGAAATTTACATGATAATTTTGTTGTATATTTGAAAGGAATAGCAAGGTTTGCATAATAGATTTGTAGTTTCCATCATCTTTGTTATTGTACTGTTATGGAAATGCTTGTTTTATTCCATAAAATTAAAAAAATATATTTGTCCCATAAATGGATTCTGATAGAGTGCTTTCTTTCCCAATTTTTGATAATAATTTCAAAGTATGGCTACTAACTGTTCTTTAAAAGTTTAATAAAATAACTCTTCTGTGAATCCATTAGGATCAGGAGTTTTTAAATTTGGTCACTCCCTTATAGCTAAATCTATTTCATTTTCTGAGATCTCTCTCTAGTCTTCTGATAATTTGGGCATTTTATAT